ACAAATTATATGATAGTCGTAACAAAATTAAAAGCACGATGGATGAAGTATGAAGCCTTCAACCAAAACATTTTTATGGTAGAAGATATGATTTATGAACTTTTAGATAGATATAAAAAGAATGAAGCATAGAAACTGTGAATTAAGTAACATGATGGGGCTGTTAAAATTACCATATGTATGTCAAAATTTTATTTATTTAACTTTTTGCCTGTGTTTTTTCTCTATTTTAATTTTGTAGTCAATAAAAATTCAAATAAATAAAAACCAGATTTGTAATTGTAACATCCAGTTTGCTTCAATCGGGGCTGTTTTTATTTTTCTTAATTTTGATGAGTTTCGTCTGAATTTTGTTTTCCCTATATTTTTTATACAACATTATCAAAAAAAATTTCTAGAAGATATTTATTCATTTTATCTCAAGAAAATAATATAATTTTTTATTAAATACAAAATGTTCAACTAAAAGTGAATCTAATACTCATGAAAAAAAATCTGTATTATAATTTTATAATCACAAACTCTTAATTAAAATCACTCTTAAAAAATAATTAGTGTATTTTTGTAAAATACAAAATGTTTAACTAATAGTGAATCTAATGATATTCATGAAAGAAATATTTTATCTTATTATAGTCACAAACTCTTAATTACAATCACCCATAATAAACAAATTAGTGTAAATGTTACATACAAAATGTTTAACTAATAGTGAATCTAATGATTTTTTTTCTTTTCCTTTTTATAAAGAATCCAACTATATTCTTGAAAGAAATTTGTATCTTATTATAGTCACAAACTCTTAATTACAATCACGCACGCAACTCAACTTATTGTTGTTATATATATCCTTCACGGCTTAACCCATAAAACAAATTCATATATACAAACTTTCCATAGAGAGCTTAACGGAGTAGAGAAAAACATGGCAAGAACTGAACTGTATCATGATAAGCCGTTTGATCCAAGCAACCAACGGAACATTCTGATAACGTTAAAAACATCAGACACGGGTTCGAGTGATACGATAACGATGCCGAAAGAGTTAGTAGAAGCCAACTTATTTCCTTGGTGGAGTAGAGCACGTTGTGAAAAATTGTCAAAACCAGATTCAACTAAACTGATGGATCTATTCGAATATGATTCTAAAATTAAAACAACAGTTGCCATGAAAAAAGAACCAGATGGAAATTTCAAATTCTATGGATGGGGTAGCATTCTTGCAAAAAGAAATTTTAAGACTGACGATGTTGTTGGATTCTGGTGGGATAAAAAATCCAATAGACTTAATTTCGAGCTACTCGTGATTGCTTAGTTTGAATGTTTGATGGAGTTGATATGGTGGGATTAATTTAAATTTTAAATTACTCTTGGTTTATTGAAAATTGCGTCCCAAATAAAAAAAAGTTCTAACCTTTTTTATATTCAAAATTTTAAAAAACATAAGCTTAATGTTAAGAAATTAAAAAATAAATAATATTAGCTTTAATATGCATATAAAATTATATTAAATATATCTTAAACATTAAGTTTTAAGTAGAAAACAAACTTATTATTTCTAAAATATAACAAACTTCACAACAACAACTAAAAAAAAATCTTGGTGGCCTTGAAAAAATATAAAAAGTTTGGTGGTTTTAATTAGGGTCTGACTAATTTAAACGCATCAATTGCTGTTACAGATGTCAGATTTTACGAAAACAGACTATAAAAAAAGACACCAAAGAAAATATAAAAGAAAAAATATGTATAATTTATACTATAGATTATCAGGGATTGTCTTAAACTAGTGGTAGTACTTGTTCAAATTTTTGTTAAACGTAAATTGTGGATTTTTGGAATCGGTTTCGTCTTTAGAATCTGCTGATCAGTTTTAATGTGTACTTAATTTCTTGTTTTTTATCATTATTGTTTATATTTATAAACTTAACATATACTGTAACACTCATTAGCTTCTTTTTTTGTCGTCTCATTGATTATTAATGAAACCCATAAGGGATATAGCAGATTAGAGATTATTACACTCAAATACACTTTTGACAACTTATATTACAAAAGCAGACACTTTATGCATTTGAGGCACTTTACATATGTGAATTGACAATGTTATCCTTTGTTTTATTTTTCATCCATTGAGTTAAATAAACATTTTACTATCTCTTTTGCCTTCTTCATCTCTTTCTTCCATTGTTCAACCTTCGATTCATTTTTTCTACTGTCAGAACATTGTCTTCTATCAAACGATTCACTGTCACCAATCTCTCTCTCTTTCAATCAGAAATTCTCTTCAACAGTCCTCAATGAAAAACCACATAACACCGTAAGAACACACAATTAGCCACTTCTTTTATTGATAAAACCAGATCTGTTCCACCTAAGCACAAATCTATTTCATCAAAGTACATATATTCAACTTCAGACAGATCTAGGAGATGGCAAGTTATTTTGCACTGTAATTTCAATCAAAATCATTGGATAGCTTACACCTTCGCCATCATATTGTGTTTAGAACTCACCGATGTGTTTACAGAGGACAAAAAGCAGATGGACACAATCAGATGGACAAAAAATAAGGGTATGTAATGGACAAAATCAAATTCACATGTGTAAAGGACACATTCAAATGGACACAGTCAAATGGACATAATCAAATTCACGTGTGTAATGGACACATTCAGATGGATACAATCAAATGGACACAATCAAATTCACGTGTGTAATATACACAATCAATATATACACAATCAGCTGGACACAATAAAATTGATGCAATCAGATTTACATGTGTAATAGACACGATCAGATAGACAAAAAAATAAAATAAACATACAGTGATAGACGAAGGCATGTATAAGGCATGCATGGACGAACAGTGATGGACGAAGGTATGTATGATAGACACATTCATATGTCTATTATCCATATAGAAGTATACGCATAGACAAATATATTGATTCACACCCTTTATTATCGTTATGTCCACGACCATATCTCCACTTATAATTTTTCTCATACATCCCTCAACCCACTCTTGTAGTACATCGATTAAATATAAATCACAATATGTCTCATCTCGGTTGTGTCACCTACAAATTTTGAAACAAGTAAGAGGGGATGGACATAAGATGATGGATATGAGGCTACAGACAAGTTTTTGGAACATAAAAAATGCTCTTTTGTAACAGAAAAAGATCTCAAATTGATTGAGAAACTCTTTAATTAAGCTTATTGAGAAGAGAAACTTCACATCTGAATGTAGTTAAACAAAGCAATATATTGTATTAGACAGTGTTGGTTGGATATAATTATGTGGATAAGTTCAGATGGACCAGAAATTGTGTCCATTCACGCACTGTCCGATCATCTGGATCCATTGAGTTTGAAATAGATGGAGAAGGAGAAGTGAAGGTTAATAATTATATGTATGTACACAACTTAATGGACACGACCGAATGGACACAAGGGCATCATAAGTGGACACTCTTTCATGGACAATAACATATGGACATGTGCCGATAAATATGAACGCTGAAACCAAAATCATAGGATACACTCTCCAATAATCATATTTATGGAGAACCACCGTCGTTTCCGCCGCCGCCCCACCGTCGTTTCCGCCGCCGTCGGGAAGCATGCCTCTAATTCTGATTCTGGATCCTAGACAGAGATAGATTCCGACTCTAAAACCGACTCTAAAGCTATCACCGCTGCAACCGTCTTAGATGGCTAGAGTTTCACGGGATTGCGGCAGCGACAAATCTCAGATGGTTAGGGTTTCACAGAGAGAGAGAGAGAGAGAGAGAGAGAGAGAGAGAGATTGGTCTGAATCGGAGTTGTTGACATAGCAGCTTCTATCATCGGAGGATATGGTTATATTCATAGGCGGCCATGATCAGCCAATGTTGATGACGAAGGTTAAAAAATAAAATTGTTGTTTTTGTTAAGTTATTAAGAAAGGATATAATAGGTAACAGAACAACACAAATCACTTAAAAGTGCCGAAAGAGTAAAAATTGTCTCTTTTGTAATAGAAACTGCTAAAAGTGTCTTTAGGCGTAAATATCTCAGCAGATTACAATCACATTCTAAAAAGCCTAAAAATGTAAAAAAAAACCCAGTTAATACAAACCTCATCTAATACCACGTGGTTGAACACGAAAACCCTAAATAACAAAGCAAGGACACGTGTTTGGAAAAGAGATGAATCAGCCGCTTTGATTACTACATCGCCGACGACGAGCAACGCCGGTGAATAACATCAAAAATTCAACGCTGTCGAAACTGCTGAAGAAAAAACATTGCTCCTTCCTTTCGCTTTTTGTCGCCGGAGAGATTGAAAAATCAAATTTTAGCAGTCAGAAGATAAATTCTCAAGAACCACCAGTGAAATAGAAACAGAATATACACCAGACCACCACAAAAGATGCCAGCTTTTCTTACTCTAATCTATATCACCGAATAATATCCTGAACACTTGATTCTAACTTGATTGAGAGAAACTTTACAACAAAAGATGAAATCTATCGGATAAGTAAAGAATTACTCCCCAAAAGAAAAAACCTAGAATAATCTGATAAGAAATAGACTTCCAACCAACTACCGGAAGTCGCATCTGAAAACAAGCAAAAAGAAAAACAAAGCAACATCCGATAAACAGAAATTATTTATCCGACAAAACGGAACCGGAAATCCGACTGAGCATAATATATTACAAACTATAGATCCAAAATAATATATACAGCACAGTACCAACGTCGAAATTACACCAACCGCTGCCCAAAAAAGAGACTCAGATCTGAGTAATTTTATTTTACAGTTTGAGAAAATTAAGAGAGAGAAAATGTAGAGAGAGTTTTTGTGCCTATGTTCATTTCCACTCATTAGCTAAATGCGATATCATTATTATTATGATTCTTCAAAAAAATAAAATATTTTAGCCGTTAGACCAAAACAGCTACAAAGAAATAATATATACCGTTAAAAGAAACGGCGTCGTTCGTCAGCTAACCATAGTCTCAGACACTTAAGCCTCTCAACTGATCTCAAGGTTGAAAATGGCACAACATACTTATCTAATTATCCACTGATTCATTTCGTCTCCAGCGAAAAAAACCACAGAGACATTGAAAAATGAGTTCTCAGCAAACTCTCCAATTTCGCGCTGACCCATTTGTGCTATCTCACTGTTGCCGCCATATTCGCCTCGCCGGCTCTCTCACGCTCCAATCTCCTCTAAAGCAGCCTTTTTCCGGCCTCCGGTTCCGGTGTCGCCGCACTTTTCAAGGCGGAGTCAGGAGTTCGGCGAAGGAGGCTGCTCAGAGTAACAATGGAAACCGGGATAAGAAATCTCCGGTGCCGGAAACGGCGATCGAACCGAAGAGGGTCTACCCGTTTGACGATATTGAGCCCAAGTGGCAACGTTACTGGGAAGAAAACCGTACTTTCCGGACACCGGACGATGTCGACACTTCGAAACCAAAATTCTACGTCCTCGACATGTTTCCGTATCCAAGGTGTCTTCTTTCGACTACTTGATTATGTACCAAAGTTCACAAATTTGGCTAATTGAGAGGCTGTTTCAGCATAAAGTCATGATCTTTGGGAATCACATTTCCTGAATTTCAGTGGCTGAGATTTTGAATAGATGATAGATTTTGGGATTTGGGTTTTGTGGTAATGATGATTTTTTTTGTATGGTTTCTTCTTCAGTGGAGCAGGATTACATGTGGGACATCCACTGGGTTATACAGCAACTGATATCCTAGCGAGGCTTAGGAGAATGCAAGGTTACAATGTTTTGCATCCTATGGGATGGGATGCTTTTGGATTGCCTGCAGAACAATATGCTATTGAGGTCCATTTTTTCGATTACTATCTTTCTTCTATTCATTTTGGTGGCTTTGTTGATAAGCCTCCTTATCGCCATTTGTGATTTACATTGCAGACAGGAACCCATCCCAAAACTACAACATTGAAGAACATTGACCGGTTTCGTTTGCAGGTTAGTGTATTACTTCCAACTTAACACTAGCCTAGAAAACTCTGTATTTTGTCAGTTGGGTTGGTGGAAAACTATGCTTGTATGCGTTTTGTCTCCAATATCCGCTTACTGATCCTTGGAGAACTGACAAAAAAGGTCTTTATAAGTGTTTAGATGTTAAAGAAAAGAACTGATCAAGACATGTTAGCTTAGGTCTAGTGGTCTACCTCGAGACCTTTTATTTCCTGATTGGTTCTTCTTTTGTTTTGGTTGCAGCTCAAATCGCTGGGCTTCTCATATGACTGGGACCGTGAACTCTCTACAACAGAGCCAGATTATTATAAATGGACACAATGGATCTTTCTTCAGCTTTATAAGAGAGGTTTGGCATATCAGGTCAAGAAAATCATTTTCTAGCTCACAAGTTAAAACCTTTTCATTTGCATATAGAAAAGTTTTTTAAAAGATTGTAAAATTTAGGCTGAAGTACCCGTGAATTGGTGCCCGGCTCTTGGTACTGTTTTGGCTAATGAGGAAGTTGTGGATGGTGTTAGTGAGCGTGGAGGCCACCCGGTTATAAGAAAGGTAATATCTTTCACCATTTGGAAATCATTATATCTGTTTTACGTCTTCCGAATCCGAACTTCGTCTGTTTTGAAAGTTCTCATGAATTCTACAGTGACATTGTTTATTACCAAGCAGCCGATGAGGCAATGGATGCTGAAGATTACTGCCTACGCTGATCGTCTTCTTGAGGATTTAGACGAGCTTGAGTGGCCTGAGAGTATAAAAGAAATGCAGAGAAACTGGATAGGAAGATCAGAAGGAGCTGAATTGGATTTTTTAATTCTTGATGGCGAAGGAGGCCGAGAAACTGACAAAAAGATTACAGTTTACACCACCAGACCAGATACCCTTTTTGGAGCAACGTATGTTCAACAGACTACCATCATATTTGTGATTCAAATTTCAAACTTTCATCATTTTGATTGTGTTATATGTTTTGCAGTTACATGGTTGTGGCACCAGAGCATCATTTGTTGTCTTACTTTATAACTGAAGAACAGAAACAACAAGTAAATTTTTATTTTTCTCTTTTTGGATTATACATTTTGTCTCTCATGAGTTTCATGACTCCTTCCTTACATATGGTTGCAGGTTGAGGAATACAAAGATTTCGCGTCGAGAAAAAGTGATCTTGAGAGAACAGAACTTCAGAAGGACAAGACGGGAGTATTTACGGGATCTTATGCGAAAAATCCAGCTAATGGGGATGCTATTCCCATATGGGTAGCTGATTATGTTCTAGCAAGGTAAGTTCACTTTAAAGATTTACATTTGCTTTGAATAGCATTTGTGTGAAACAGAGGACTTTGTTGTATGTGACAGCTATGGAACCGGAGCAATCATGGCGGTCCCAGCTCATGATACTAGGGATAACGAGTTTGCGTTGAAGTATAACATTCCAATCAAGTGGGTAGTGAGAAATGAAGCAAATTCAAGTGATGATGATGCTAAGCAGGTTTATCCAGGAGTGGGGAAAATTGAAAATTCATCAAGTTTAGAAACAGGACTTGACATAAATCAACTATCTAGCAAAGAAGCTGCTTTAAAAGTTATTGAATGGGCCGAGAGAACCGGAAACGGAAAGAAGAAGGTTCATCTTCATCATGTCTTCCTCATGTGGATTACATAAGAGATAAAAAATTTGTTCTTTTTTAATTACTCAAAAGGTTTTTTTGTCAGGTAAATTACAAGCTGAGGGATTGGCTATTTGCACGGCAGCGTTACTGGGGCGAACCTATCCCGATCTTGATTTTGGATGAATCTGGTGAAACTATTGCGGTTTCAGAATCTGAGCTGCCACTGACTTTGCCTGAGTTGAATGATTTTACTCCCACTGGAACAGGGGAACCACCACTGTCAAAAGCAGTATCATGGGTATGTTTTGCGGTTAATATGATTAGTTTCTTGATACTTAAAAAAGGGCGATGGACATTTTGGTTATGATCGATGAGTTTTGCAGGTGAACACAGTAGATCCTGCAACAGGAAAACCTGTCAAAAGAGAAACCAGCACTATGCCACAATGGGCTGGATCTTGTTGGTAAATGTTCATTAAAAAGCTTTTTATTTACTCTTTAGAATCCTTGATGCTCTCTCCTAGAGATGGTTATGCTGAAATTGGTTGATTTATACTGAGAAACTAAACAAAATTACCTGATTTTCTACTATTGTTGATTCATGATATTAAGTCTCTTTATCTCCAGGTACTATCTGAGATTCATGGACCCAAAAAACTCTAAAGCATTAGTTGACAAGGAAAAAGAAAAGTGAGAGCCTTTTAACAGAATATAGTCATTTTACCTTCCGTCTAAGTAAGATTTCGTTGCTTTTTGGGAAGATTCTTAAGTGTTGCTCTTGTGGCAGATACTGGAGCCCAGTAGATGTATACGTTGGTGGTGCTGAACATGCTGTTTTACATTTGCTATACTCTAGGTTTTGGCACAAGGTGAGTTTTCTCTTGTAACCTCTCCTTCTTATATAGCTTTCTCGTGATCTAACAGTTACTGTATCATCGCAGGTACTTTATGACATCGGTGTTGTGTCGACAAAAGAACCCTTCAAGTGTGTTATAAATCAAGGAATCATCCTTGGGGAGGTGAGTTTGTCTTTTCTGTTTGAATATGTTTACAAATTCTGTGTGAATCTGTTTTCTTGATAGTTTTAAGTTGCAGGTCCAGTATACAGCTTGGAAAGACCAAGAAGGAAATTATGTATCTGCAGACACTGAAGAACGTTTAAATGAAACGCTTCAACAAGTGACACTCCCGGAAGAAAAAGTATGATGAATCTTCGTTCTCATTCACTAACTAAAACCTGATTTGACTCTCTGGAGTTATAACTTACGATCTTTTTAATGTTATATAGGTTATGAAGTCTGGAGATCATTTTGTTCTGAAAGAAGATCCTAGCATTCGTCTGATTCCACGCGCTTATAAAATGAGCAAAAGTAGAGGAAACGTGGTAAATCCTGATGATGTTGTGTTAGAGTATGGTGCAGATTCTCTACGTTTGTATGAGATGTTCATGGGACCATTTAGGTGAAACTTTAATTCCAAATTTGTTATATTTAGGTTCTAAAGTTTTCTCTGCGTTGATGTTGCTGCATTTTCTTTCTACTAGGGATTCAAAGACTTGGAACACAAGTGGGATCGAAGGTGTGCATCGTTTTTTGGCAAGAACATGGAGACTAGTCATTGGTTTACCTCAGTCTGATGGATCTTTTAAAGATGGAACCTTAGTGACTGATGATGAACCGACCCTTGACCAACTCCGTTCTCTCCACAAATGCATAGCTAAGGTCACATCTCATTCCCAAATGTGATCCATTTGCGGTTTGATTACATCCTACTTAAATACAAATGTGTAAAATCTGCAGGTGACAGAGGAAATCGAGAGTACAAGATTCAACACAGGGATTTCAGGGATGATGGAGTTTGTTAACGCTGCATATAAGGTTAATCTTTAGACTCAAGCTTCGTTTCCTTCGCTTTCAAGAACTTGATCTTTACTCTTGTTTCATCTCATGTTGAACAGTGGAATAATCAACCTAGAGGAATCATTGAGCCTTTTGTTCTTTTGCTCTCACCTTATGCGCCTCACATGGCTGAAGAGCTTTGGTCACGTTTAGGCCATCCTAATTCTCTGGCTTATGAAAGCTTCCCTAAGGTACACATAGCCATACAAACACAACGGAGGAAAAGTGTTTTGTGATATTGACTGTCTTTGGTCTTTATGCAGGCAAATCCGGATTACTTAAAGGACACAACTATTGTTCTTCCGGTTCAGATAAACGGGAAGACAAGAGGCACCATAGAGGTTGAAGAAGGATGTTCTGAAGATGATGCTTTCGCTTTAGCGTCACAGGACAAGAAACTCGAGAAATATCTAGACGGACAATCGATCAAGAAGAGAATCTATGTACCTGGGAAGATCCTCAACGTTATCTTAGACCGGACTAATGTCAAGGTCACTACAAAGTAGAGGCTTCAAAAGGAAACACTTTCAGAACATTTCACCTTGTTGCTAACTCAAATTCTCTATTGTAAGAGTTTCAGATATATTGAGAACAAAAAAAGATTTCACTGATTTCTTAGAGAACATCAGAGGAAACAACGTTTGTTACGCCTTTCCATCCTTTTTGCCGAGCTCGAAGCTCCCACATGTATGACATTCTTCTCTGTTCGTCTAGAGTCGCCTCTGCTTTCTCTCTTGCTAGCTCACAAGTCTCCATCCCCATGCTGCACTTATCAGCCTCTTTCTGATACTGAGACGTCGCTTTCTTAGCATCTAGCAATAACCTGTCTGCTCGCCATTCGTCTTCTTGAGCCTGTGCTTCTCTTAGCTTCAGCTCTTCAGCCACCATTTCCGTGAAACTACTCTCGTTCTCTTCACCAGCTTCCTCGTGTCTCATACAATCTTGATAATGAAACAAGAACCAACATAAAGCTCATGAATATCTACAACGTTTTAGGTTTCTTACTAACTATACATGAAAAGATATCGCCAGAAAACACTCACCTAAGAAGCTATGATTGCTCAATCCTGCAGATGAAGCAATGAATCAAATACATCAATAATTGGCTTTAATATTACCTTTAACTTTAAGAGAAGAAAAGAAGGATGATGATGATGATGATTACCGTCGGGGATGGAGAGAAGAGGTTGAGAAGAACAGTCGCAGACACAAGGAGGACAAGAGGAGTGGAGAGAGTCTGCAATGGTCTCGTTGAGATGCCAATACAGAGACGGTCCTGCGATGTAGGCAACGATGCACAGTCCCATTACCCCTGTAACCACCTTCGCTGTCTTCTTCTGCTGCCTTCTGGTCATCTCTCTCTCCCTCTCTCTGCAAATTAAAGATTTCTTCACTTTTGTTTGAATCTGACAAGATTCTCCAGTAACTGATCTCCTTGAAAACTCCCCCAAGTATTGGATCCTTCCTAACTTCTAGTGTCGTTTGATCCTATTTTTAGCAATTATAAATGATCAATCATGTAATTTACATTATATTATATACGTATTAAGTGAAATAATAAACCATGAGTATGTATAGACTATAGTTTACGTTAACGGATTTGCTTCATTTCCTTGCTAAGAGATTTCAACACAGACGCTGTCTCATCTGAATGTGAAGTATGATTCATGAAGAAAGTTGTGATTCTCCCGTTCACTTCGATTTTGCTCCAACCAGGGAGCTTTTTCAAGCCGAGAGACCTCATCTGATTCCACGACTCACTCACATCGTCCCATCTCTTCATGGCGGCAAAAGAATGTGCAAGCCTAACGTAATGTCCAGCTTCTACTGGCTTCAACTCAATCATATCCCGACAAACTATATCTTCGACCTCTGTTTTCCCATTTGCACGGCAAGCATCAAGTATTATCCCCAAGACATCGATTGATGGTTTTGTAAAGTTGTCTTTGTAGAACTTAAACGCTTCTTCTACTCTTTTAGCTCGACATAGAAGATCAACCACGCAAGCAAGGTGTTCGTGGTTGGGTTCAACACCATAATCTCTAACCATTGAACTGAATATCTTCAAACCGTGCTGAACCATTCCGTTGTGGCTGCAAGACGAGAGAACCGCTAAGAAAATCACGTGATTCGGCTCCATTCCAGAGCGAAGAAACTCTGAGTAAATCTCCAAAGCAATGTCCCCTTTACCATGGAAACCATACCCTGCAATGAGTGTGCCCCACGAGACAAAATCTTTCCGCGAGATCGAATCGAAACAGCTCTGTGCAGCTTCTAAGTAGCCGCATTTCGCATACATATCAACCAGAGCCGTATCAACCAAGGCGCAAGGTCTGATAAAGCTTCTGATTGCAATACAGTGTATAAGTCTCCCTAACGGGAGAGCTCCAGCTGATGAACAGGCTTGTAAAAGGGAAACAACCGTCAATGAATCAACTCGTTGCGGAGTTTTGAACTTCATCTCTGTAAACAATAGCAACGCCTTACACAGATCTCCGTTCTGGGCATGTCCGGAGATAATTGCATTCCAAGAAACTAAGTCTCTTTCATTCATCCGTTCAAAAAGAAATGAACTTTTATCCAAATGGCCGCATTTTGCATACATTGTGATAAGAGAGTTCAACGCAGGAGTGTCTAAGTAATATCCTTGCCTCAGTACATAACCATGGAGTGAAGAGCCGAGATCAAAGGAACCCAATTGAGCACAAGCTGCTACAACACTAGCTATTGCCTCACTCGATATCTCTGATCCTGAATCTAACATCTCCGAGAAAACACTCAGAGCCTTTTCCGCTCTACCCAACCGGACAAGTCCTGATATCATGACCGTCCAGCAAACAACATCCTTATAAGGAATGGTTTCGATTACTCGAAACGAAGCTTCCTCCTCACCGCACTTTAGGTACATAGACATCAATGCCGTCTTGAGATGCATGTCTACATCGTAACCAGTATTCACAATTTGGCAGTGTAACATTCTTCCCATGTCAAGATCACACATTGTTCCGCAGACGGAAAGTGAGGCTCCAAATGTCTGATGATCAGGTCTTAAACCATCATCTCCCATTCTGCACAAAAGCTTCAAGATTTCATTCATATTACCAACAAAAGCAAATCCTGAAACCATTGTGTTCCATGAAACCATATCTCGTTGCTCCATCTGATAAAACAAATCCTTAGCATCTCCGACACGATCGCACTTGCAGTACAAATTCAACATTGAGTTCGTCGCAGATATATCACAATCAAACCCATAAACCACCGCAAAGGCATGTAAACACTGTAACTGCGTAATCTCGGAAACACCACTCAGCATCTCCAGCAACGTAACCGGACCCGGTTTAATCCCCTGATATCTCATCTCGTTCACCAAAGTAAACGCCTTTTCTACAGTCCCGGCGCGTGAGTAACACCCGATCATTGCGGTGTAGTGTACCACATCCCTCTGACGCATTTCGTCGAACACTTTCCGAGCATGATCCAAGATCCCAAATTTGGCGTAGAGGTTGACCAGCGAAGACGAGGTGTAGGAATCGGAAGAGAACCCATTGACGAGAACTTGCTGGTGAATCGAGAGACCGAAAGATAGGAGATGAAGAGAAGCACAGGCTTTGAGAAGACTAGGGAAAGTATAAGTGTCAGGTAGGAATCTATTAGCGAGCATGGAAGAGAAGGTTGAGAGCACTTGATGATGATCGCCATGAGATGAGAAATGGTTGATGAGAGAGTTGAAGGTCTTGGTGGAGTTAAGCAATGAAGAAGGTTTGATCATAGCTCCATGGTCTTGATCTAAGCGGGAACGATGAAAATGAAGAAACCGAAGTTAACGAAGCAAAAACAATTTCCAAAAATATGACCGTTAGTTTAAATTTCCATTAGTACATACAATAAGCTAATGATGAAAAGACTAATTTTGCTTTTAGGGAACTCAATTAGCACTAAATTGGTCATGGGTCAACGCAGTTGCAATTCCATCAGTTTTTTTGGGTTTATTTTTATTTTTCTTACTTCTGAGTTCTGATTAACTTCCGTTTTGAATAATATGCAGATAATAAAATACAGTATAAATGTAGATCAATAAAATTATAGATCTATCTGCAACAAATTTGTCATGCACACATTTTATTGTATATCAAAATATATATAATAAAATATAATTAATCAAAATTTTGTTGTTTTTTAATGATAAACCCGAACAAATTTACCATCCTTCTTTTTTAATCAGACCAATGCAGATCAATCAATTTTTTCTGATCCGTACTTGTTATGTTTCATTTACATTTTTTATATTTGCTTTCCATTCTGAGTTTACTTTTATATGTTATATTCCTATAACATTTTATAATTATCAATTTTGTAGACCAAGTTAATAATTTATTGCGAAATCATTTTGATGAGTCAGTCATCATGAATCATGATAGTTGACATGCTTCCTTCGGCGCTCAGTTTGCCGCATAAAGAATAAACAAAGGAGCAAATCTCCAATGTATACTATTATCTACACAATATATGGTCAAACTTAATATTTTGTCCAAGATACTTTTCTCATAAGAATCATTAGGTCTAGATTCAATGTCCAACCAGTGTAAACAATTTTAGAATAATCACTCTAATTTTGAATATTGTTAACAAACTAAATTTGTCGGGAAAAGAGACAAACTGAATTTACTAAACCTCTCTATTCAATTCATACACTATAGCATAATCAAATAGTATCAAACACCACTGTATGAATTTCAGCTGATAATCTTGATTGAAGAAGTTCCATTGGTTTAATAATTACTCTCTTCGTTTCATTCTCCATTTCATATAAAAATGTCACACAAATTTAAAAGTTCTTTAAAAGTTATGTTTTATTTCTTATTCACACACAAAATAACAATTTCTTTCTATTAAAACATTAAATTAGTAAATTTAAAATAGGATTTTTATTTTTTATCCAAAAAAACTAAATTTTTATTTTAAATTTTGTATTGAAAATGTAAAATGACAGTTTTTATGAAACAAAAATTAAACTTTAGAACTAAACTTTTATAAAATGGAGAGAATATATCCTAGCTAGGGCTTATCTAAGGCTCAAATGAATCTTTGATTACTAAGAAAATATTGTAAACCCTTTATTTTTTTTATTATTTTTTAAATACTTTATTTGAGTATTAAATAATACGAACTACCACTACATTTTCCATTACAAGATACCATATTTACGAATATACCGATTGATAAACAAAGAGTTTGTGAACCAATAGAGTTGGATATATGACCATATATAGGTTTTTATTCTTGCAAAACAATTAGGAGTTGCTTGGTCGAAATCAAATATGACAATTAGTAAGTCATGGTAGAGTTGGATCAAACCCATCAAAAAATCATTGTAAAGTTGTATCAATGATGTTAGATCAGAGTAATCAATCATGATATTTTCTAACCAAAACACATTTATTTTCAATAAATAGTGAGATGGTCCTTCAAAATATCGAAAACTAATTTGTACGATAACAAATATGCATTATTATAGATATAGTTACTAAAAACTAAAAATAATTGAGGTTTTATAATCTATTGAATTGTTATTGGGGTCATGTTACTACTGGGTCTAATTTTGGTATAGGCGGAAGTGAACTATAAATATAGTATACGAATAACAGGAGGACATGAAATGAAATTCATGTCGGTTAAATGATATCATGATGGCTTGTACCAACTTCTCATTTTTTAAGAAAACGATATATAGTAATTTTTTGGTGATAGGAAAAAATTAATTTATGGGCAACCGATATTTTAAATCAAAACGTTCCCAGCTGTATATTCCTTGACCATTCTAATTTCAAGAAATCTATAAAAAAAAACAAATTCATGTACATACACATACAAAATACTAAAACTGCAAGATCTTTTTTAAAAATCATATGCTCTAGCTATCTCAATTGTTAAAAGCAAATAAAGTTATAAAACTCAAACGTTTTGTCGCTTTAAACGTCGGTAAAATACACATGAATGTTTATTTAGTTTTTGCCAGCACAGACATTATTGTTTAGAGGCCTGCAGTCATACGGCTATTAATTGTGATTTTATATGATCGGCCAAAAGGCGGGTTTGTAAAACATTAGCGTCTAAACAATATGCCATAATCAGTATTAGGAGACATCTAACTCTTTGACCGATTTAATCGACAGTCATTTTTTTGTCCACTTCAAAATTTGTATTAGTTATATATACAGTATATATATATAAGGAAATATACTTGAATAGGAGCAACCAAAAGCGGTAAGCGGTCGTTAGGGTTTCTTTAACGTTTGCAAAATCCATAAATCATGAAGATTACTCTAATAATTAGCTAGGAGCCACTTGGTTAGTTTAATGATTTTTCTTTCGTTATAACTTTTTTGTTGTCATTATATTTAGTTACAATTGTTAAGGTTCTAACTTGTGGTTCAAGAACTTTTAATTAGACCTTAGAAACGCATGCATATATTCCTGATTATTGAATATAGAGGAAATATATAGGTGTATATTTTAGTAATGTTATATAAGTAATTGCAATAATTAAATGAGTATTGTTTAATTAATGAAGAAATGTTGTTCAAATTGATAGTTACACTTACACAAAGAACAAAAAGGTGGGGGTAAAAGAGCAAATTAGTTCTAAACAAAAAAAAAACTAATTTTCCATACGACTCGAGAATTAAGTTTGGAATTCAATCAGAATTTCACTGTTTATAGAAGTAGAAAAAACGAGTCAAAATGTGAAAACAATCGGTTTCTTTTTTTTTTTTTTTGGGCGGGGGTGAAAGGACATTTTGTTTTTCAAGAATTATAAAGAGACAAATCTTCTTCCCTTGAGGCTAAGAAGTCAAAGAGCGACCGAGTCCCATGCTGTGATAGTCAACAAGTTTACCGGTAAACATCAGTTTATTTATAGAAAACGTAGTGGGACCCACAGCCGGTCACCGGTAAGAACTTTACCTGTGAGGTATCCCATTCCTATCCCATTAATCTCGTTGACTTAGCTCAACCATTGTGTATTGTATATAGATGAAAATCGTGAAAAATTAATTGGCGCAGAATTAGTAATTATGTAAATGTAAAATGATTGTAAATTAAAGCATGAGATCACACCTTTTTTTTTCATTTTCAGATTTGTAGCAACATTTTTTGTATGTAATTCAGGATAATTTGGTCAAAGTTCAGTTTGTACATTAACAATTTGTTAATTAACAACAAATAATTTCATATCAGGATTTTTAAACAAAATTCAAATAATTTCCGTACATTTTTAAGTTAATGTGATAACAGACATTAAATAGAAATAGAGCTTCTAATTATTTCAATCACGTGGGAAGCGCCGATTGAATTGCCACCGGTGAGATTCATTTCTATTTTCTGATCTATTAATTCTATGAACGAACAAGTCAAAAGTCTTTCTTATAGGAAAAAGGGAAAAGGAAAATAAATTTAAAGAAAATTTACTAATTTAGTCAAAAAATAGCGAAATATATATTTCATATGTAATAAGAATTCTTTGAAAAAATTTCTTCCCTAAAAATAGTTATTCTTCTCTAAAGCTCATATATTGACTTGATCAACTAAGGATTCAAAGTTTTACTAATTAGGACAAAGTCTTTGAACAAATTTCGTAGATCAAAGTGCTTTTTTTAGAAAAAAAAAATAACTTAGGTGAGATTTTTCAGTAGAGTAAATTAGTCAATTATCATATATATACATGTATTTTTTTATAAATAATATACTACACTCATCAATCAACCCTTAAAAGTTTCTTATAATTATATGAGGGTTAATTGACAATTTAACAAATATACAACATCTCAAGTACAAAGCTAAATTTGTCTAATCATTCCATCATATTTTAGATTATTTTTTTATTCTTTTATGTTTATCTACGGTTAAGTTTATAAAATTTCCAACTCAAAACTAATTAACAATTAGTAGATTAGTTTTGATGATGACTCTTCCAGTTCACCTAGAACCAAATTCCACTCCAAAACTAACAGTATAGATGTAACTAAGATTTTGATACCATATCTCATTTGGGTCAATCCTACTTCTTAGATTTAACTAGGACTTTGATACCATGCAGATCAAATGTCTTTGATAAACCATAGTCCCTCCTATAAGGAACAGTAAAGTTTTACTCTTTGCGAATTGTTTGATCCCAAAAAACAGCAACAATACGTCTATAATTCTATAATATAAAACAAAATGATTGGGTTGCATGATATGATTATTGTTATTGATTTGGGTCAATGGCTAGATGGTAGACAAATGACGTCCACACTGACGCAAAATGAACAAAAAAAATACTCCACAAAAATCTTTCTACGAAAATACAAATTTAAAAAAAAAATAATTAGAAGCAGGCATAAAACAAATATAGACAACAACAATGTCTTTCATCAATTAATAATATTATTATCAAACAATGACGATTTTTTATATTATAGTATATTAGTAGGAAAGTTTGACAATATCTGAGTCCACGTCAATACCATTTTTGTAGCCGAAGCATCTGGTCTCTCTCTTCTCTATCCTCGTCTCTAACCACATACTCGACAAAGTATCTCTCTTTCTCTCTCTTCTAAGATATCTTCTTCTTCTCACTCTCTATATATGGAGTATTGGATATGGTACGGAACAATCACACACATACACACACACAGAGTGGATTAGATACGTACCTTATATTGTCCTTCAAAGTACGTAACACCATATCCAATCTTTCTTTGTTATACTAGGGTTTCGGAATTTGGATAACAAAACTAACATCATCCGTACTCATACTTTAAACCGAAACACAATCTAAGTTATCTAATCAAGAACTTAAGATCTCTACATGGAGAGAGAGATGTTTCGTTTTCCGGTGAGTCTTGGCGGTTCACATGACAATACAAAGCAGCCACAGCCGTCGGATGAGCAGCATCATCGGGCGGTGATGGATGAGGTTGACTTTTTCAGGTCGGAGAAGAGAGATGATAAGAACAATAATATCACCGACGAGACTCATAAGGTTCATGTCAAAAGAGAGAATTCACGTGCTGATGATGATGATGATGATCGTTCAACGGGTATCAATGTAAGTACGTTAATTACTCTGTTTTAACCTTATTTATTTTTCTTACCATCCCATAATTTTTGTTCTAGAGATTAGTAATTAAATTGTCAACAATAGTTTCGTCATATAAATTTATATATTGTTATTGTAAATAGACTGGACTTAATCTACTCACTGCGCATACGGGAAGCGAGGAGTCGATGGTGGATGATGGATTGTCTGTGGATATGGAAGAGAAACGTACCAAGTGTGAGGTACACTTACTAAATCTAGCTCTTTTAATTTCTTTAATAAAAAAGTATAAAAAATTCTCAAAACCAAAATTTTGTAAATTCAAGCTTCTAAAACATAACTTTTTCTTTTTTTCGTTCCAATGAAATTAAATAAAAAGTTTCAATCTAAATACAAACATCAAAATGTCTATATATATATCTTACGAATAAACACAAGAAGATAGAATGTAAAAAAAAATTGAAAACGGTATATTTATTTGAAATCTTCACGAGATTGTTTTTGTTTTGACAGTCCATTTTCATTTTTCTCGTATCTAATCTGTAAAATCGTCTCTCCATTTTTTTTTTTTTTTGAATTTCTATATTGCTTCTGTGTTATCTATAGAGATTTTGCTTCTTTTAAGTAGCTAGTCTGATGATTGTGTTTGATAAAATGAAGAATGCACAACTTCGAGAAGAGCTAAAGAAGGCGGTTGAAGAGAATCAAAGGCTAAAGGAAATGCTAAGTCAAACAACCAACAACTTTAACTCCTTGCAGATGCAACTTGTTGCTGTCATGAGGCAACAAGAAGACCATCATCACCTGGTAATTAACACTCTAAGCTCTAATATCTATCTTAATCTTTAAGTTTAACCAGTATTCTAAGACATATATCAAGCTCCTCACAAGTTTAATTAGTTAAAGCTTTTAAACTCTTGCTTTCATCAGGCTAAGACCGAGAGCAAAGGCAAGGCCATTAAACCACCTGAAGCGCCTGAAATGGTTCCAAGACAGTTCATCGATTTGGGACTGCCGACTGCTGAAGCATCGTCCGAGGAGAGGACGACGGTTCGGTCAGGATCTCCGCCATCGCCTTTAGAGAACTCTGTCTTACGTCAGCGCGGAAAGAGGATACTTGAGATAGAAGAAAGCCCAGAGACCGAATCTAACGGCTGGGGAAACCCTAACAAAGTTCCCAAACACAACGCGTCCTTAAGCAATTGCAATGTTATCGATCAGTCGGCCGCTGAAGCCACCATGCGTAAAGCTCGTGTCTCGGTCCGTGATCGATTCGAAAATCCCACGGTAACAATACTCTTACTCTCTAGTAGTGTTTGAAGATCGATCTTTTCAAACTTTTAAGAGGTTAATATATTTACTTCAATGAGATTGTTTTACAGTTAGTCGATGGATGTCAATGGAGAAAATACGGACAGAAAATGGCTAAAGGAAACCCGTGCCCTCGAGCTTATTATCGATGCACGATGGCCGTTGGTTGCCCCGTTCGCAAGCAAGTACGTTCTTTAACGGTTGCTTTATAGGCATTCTTAAATTACAAGAACATTCACTAGTTATGGAGATTGGTCTGAATTTCGGTTTGAGAGACCATAAACCCTAAGTCTCACGTACGAATTCCGAAAAATCATGGTCGAGTTTGGACCAATGTTCTCATGGCAACATTCCTATTGAAATTGAATCATGCTGCTGCATATATATATATAATCATAAACATTTTAAGCTTCTAATATGTTTAAGTGTACAATCAAATGTACAAATATGTTTGATTAATGTATTTCTAAATCAATGACCTAAACAGGTGCAACGTTGCGCAGAAGACAGATCCATTCTCATAACAACCTACGAAGGAAACCATAACCATCCATTACCTCCAGCAGCTATGAGCATGGCCTCGACCACAACCGCAGCCGCAAGCATGCTCCTCTCTGGCTCTACAATGTCGGGCCAAGCTGACGGTTTAATGAACCCAACAAATCTCTTGGCTCGAACCATGTTGCCTTGCTCCTCAAGCATGGCCACGATCTCAGCCTCTGCACCATTCCCAACCATTACATTAGACCTTACAGAGTCAGCACCCAACGCTGATAATCCAGCTAATAACAACCCGTTGATGCAATTCTCTCAACGGTCTGGTTTCACCGAGTTGAACCAATCGGTTTTGCCTCAAATGATGGGCCAGGGCTTTTATTATAACCAACAACAATCCAGGTTCTCAGGCTTACAGATGCCGGCTCAGTCGCTGAACGCTGGCGAGAGCGTTAGCGCCGCTACTGCCGCTATCGCCGCCGATCCTAACTTTGCAGCGGCTCTAGCCGCAGCCCTCACGTCTATTATCAGCGGTTCAAATAGTCACCAAAATGGGAACAGTAACAACAGTAATGGTAGTAATGTTACCACGAGCAACGTTGACAAGAGACCATGACCTTCTATTTTATCGGTCGATTTTGCTTTTGTTTTCACATTTTACATTTTAGCTTCTTTTGTCTTTTTTTTTTTTCCGAACAACAAGAGTCTTCCGAGCAAATTTTTTCCCCTTGCTTGTGTACGATAAGACGATTTTGTCCAGGAATAAAAACTGCCTTTTATTTTTCTTAATAATTAGTTTTATTATATAAATTATTTTGATGCGTCGTCTATAACTAAAATTTTCATAACACATGTTAATATCCTTTTATTTATTTTTATGGATGATTTCATTATTTCTTATATTTTTATTTATATTTATTTTCATAAATAAAATACTAAATTATAAAACCTGTCTTAAATTCTTAATCAAGTTTTTAAGAAAGTTGATTATTGGAGTATATAATATATTATTAATTCATGATGAAGATTGGGCTACATTCTCGAAAAGTGAAGTATGAGCCCCGGCCCAAATATATTCTGAGTCTATGGCACGAATAGTTTTTTACCAGCTCAAAAATTGATCTGAATCTTTTTTTCTTGCTCTCCTCTATAGCTAAAAAAAAACCCTTCGTATTATTGCTGAGATATATTTGCAGTCACACAAATTTGATTTTAGAGAAATAGCATTCCAATTTCTAGCTTTTTGTGGTTTGAAATGCAGTCGATAAATGGCAATTTTCTGAATTAACGTATTCATTTGTCATGTTTTATTATAAAGCAAGACATTTTTACAATAAAACCAATATCAAGTAGTGACATTCTGTATGAAGGACCTTTGTGTGCTTTCACTAGTTTTTATATAGGATTGTGTCACTATTAGCTATTGAGTTTTTATAGTTGGTTCAAAGAATAGAACCAAAGAAGAAACCAAACCTAATGGATTTAAATGGGAAAATATGAAAAGTTGAAGCTTTAACGAAACGTTGTTTGCGTTTATAGGTCCCACGCAGCGTCAATAACGTGAAGGCGTTTGCTTGTGCCACAAATCAAAGCAACCTTATATTTTCCATTTCCAGCAAACACACCAATCTAAAAACCCACCATCTATTTTTATTTATTTTTTTCGTTTTGCAAGAATCAAACTCTGTTTAACTTATTTAAAATTCTTGTTAATATATTGAATCATTTATTGTATTATGTTCATGGAGTAACATGAAATGTCTAATAGTATTATGAGGGTGAATATTAAGAAGTTGATTTACAGACGTTACAGTGTATTCCTAAGCTGGACCCACGCGTGGGTTCATCAACGTGAAGAGCGTACCTAACGTGAGACAATCCTAAATCTGCGAATATCTTTGCAAGCATTTAATCACCAATTCATATAATTCCAAGTAAAGAAGTAAATGAATTAATGACGTTATAAAAAAGAAATAAATAAATTAATTAATACATATAGATTCTTCTATCTCCTTTTTTTTTGTTTTTTTTTTGTTTGTTAAATAGGTTTTCTGTTAAAGGTTTATTATAATGTTCTTTCTTGTACACCTAAAATATAATGATGTCGATCTGGAAAACCGATTTTACAATGATATTACCCCATCTGTAAAAAAAAAAAGCCAAACAAACAATCATATATACCATAGATCTCTTAAACCTATTTAGCAAAAGGAAAAAAGAGATACATCATAACATATCTTATCCAAGAATTAATGCAAAATGTAAGCTTTTAGTATATAAAAAAAAGAATAAGAATTTATGGAAAATGACCATAATTGACTCTTACATACAAATGTAACGTAATGAAAATATTATATTACAACGGTGAAACAGATGATGCAAATGAAAACAAGCACTTTTTCTCCCTTTTTTCTTGTTAAAAAAGTTGATTTTGCCAATGTGTCCGGCCCCACGCAAACAAGGTTTCATAAACGTGACCCTTGCTTATGAATCTAATACACACAATTAAATGCAGTTAATACTAACTTTCCATTTGCAAGCAACGCGTAATAATTAATTAAGAAAAAAAAACTGAATTTTATGTGTCTGTAAGTTTTTCTTATGTATTAAGTTATTTACGTATATATATAAATCCCTGCACCAATCTTCTTCGTCTTGTTAAACTTGAGTTTTTCTTATTCTCTAGTTTAAGATTCTGTACTGTACACACATTTTCTCGGTGAGTGCTCTCTTACTCCCTCGCTATTTTCTATTTTTGTTTCTGTTCAAAATCAAATCATTCAATTTCTGTTTATCAAAAGTAAAAGCTCATTTTCTGATTTTCCCCTGTTCTCATTTAAATTATAGGTTTTATTTTGGTTTTCCGTAGATTCTTCACTGTTAAAACTGTATTAAGGTTCAAGAAACTGTTTGTTTGATTCTGATGTGGGGTTTATATATGACTTAGCCTTAACTTTTTTTTTAAAACCAATTATCTTAATCAACAATAATACACTTTGGCTTGTTTTAGTCTTCACTATGATTTTGTGAAAAGACAATAATATAAGACAAAGAATAAAAAATATTCTCGTTTTGAATTTGGTAGATCAGAAACTTAATTTAAAATGTGTTTGATATTTGGTGTAGTAAAGATCTTGCTGGAGTTATGAACAGAGCCGTTTCAGTGTATTAACTTCTTTAGAACACATTTAAGGTTTTCTGTTTCTACCTTACTTTTGTAACATGTTAGAAAGTCCAAGGATTTGTTGATTCACGAATCTTGAATCTAGGATACTTTGTTTACAAAACCTTATTAGGAGATGGTTTTTAAGGTTGTCTGAATAAAACTATTGTCTGATTTATAGGAAGTATGTTTCATGCCCAAAATCTCTAGATTAATTGTTGCGTAATAGAGAAGTAACAACTAACGTATATGTGATCTGCTATTTAAATTGATTTAAAATTGTTATTTGATGACAGGCAAAGAATGGGAACTCGATTCTTGCTCTTGTTCTTGCTTGCATGTCTAGTTCTTATATCCACGGCCTCAAGTGAGCAAAACGGTGATGGAACAGTTAGAATTGGATTGAAGAAGAGGAAACTAGACCGAGCCAACAGGCTAGCTTCTCAGCTTGTCTTGAAAAACCGAGGAGGATCTTCTTGGTCTTACAAAGATTATTTCCGCATGAAAGATGCAAATTCGGATATTGTTCCTCTGAAAAACTATTTAGATGCTCAATACTATGGTGATATCACCATTGGTACTCCACCTCAGAAGTTTACTGCCATCTTTGATACCGGAAGCTCCAATCTCTGGATACCATCTACTAAATGCTACTTATCGGTATGCATTAGCGGTTTAACTTCTTTTTCTTTTCGGAAAATGTGAACAGAATAAAAAAAATCTCTGGTTAAATGTTTTCTTTTCAGATTGCTTGTTATTTTCATTCAAAGTACAAAGCTAGCCAGTCAACAACATACAAGAAGAACGGTTTGTTCTCTCTCTCTATATATATTCAGTTTGTTATTTGATTCTTGAGCTTTGGTACACTAAAAAATTATTGATATTACAGGAAAGCCTGCGTCAATACGCTATGGGACAGGTGCTATTTCTGGTTACTTTAGCAATGATGATGTTAAAGTTGGTGATATTGTTGTCAAGGATCAGGTAAAACCAGATTCATCAGCTTTCGTATTTCAGTTTCTTGAGAGTTTGCTATATCTTACTGCTACTTCTATATATCATCACAGGAGTTCATAGAGGCTACTAGTGAGCCTGGTATTACATTCTTGGTGGCAAAGTTTGATGGTATTCTTGGGTTAGGGTTCAAAGAGATTTCTGTAGGAAATTCAACTCCGGTTTGGTATGATTCTCATTCATTTGATCTAAGTCTTCATTAGATACAAGACTTTGTTGTACCATCTGAATTATGAATGATGTTGATATATAGGTATAACATGATAGACAAAGGTCTGGTTAAGGAACCGGTTTTTTCGTTCTGGCTTAACCGTAACCCGCAAGATCCAGAAGGTGGTCAGATTGTTTTTGGTGGAATGGACCCTAAGCATTTCAAAGGAGAGCATACTTATGTTCCAGTGACACATAAAGGTTACTGGCAATTCGACATGGGTGACCTCAACATTGCTGGCAAACCAACCGGTAAGTCAAAAAGCTTTTGAAAATGTTTCAGTCTTGAGTCTTTAGATATAATCTGACATCTGAATATCTATATTTGTCATTCAGGATATTGTGCTCAAGGTTGTTCTGCTATTGCTGATTCCGGAACTTCTCTGCTTACCGGTCCATCGGTAAGAGAAAGATTTTGTACATTGTGTTCACTATATGTAGCACCTGAAACATGCTGATATAGATTTATTTGTATGTTTAGACTGTCATCACAATGATCAATCATGCCATTGGAGCAGTAGGAGTCGCGAGCCAGGAGTGCAAAATCGTCGTAGATCAATACGGAAAAACCATGTTGAATTCACTTCTGGGTCAGGTTGAAGCTACTTCTCATACCAACACACTCACACTTAATCTGTTTATAACAAATACAATCTTTAAAACCTGCATCATTTTTAACTTAACAGGCGGATCCAAGGAAAGTATGCTCACAGATAGGACTCTGCGGTTTTGATGGTTCACACAGTGTGAGGTTAGTACTGACACAGTCCAAGCAAGAAATGACCAGAAAATCAATCTGATTCAATGTTTGTATGCAGTATGGGGATAAAGTCAGTTGTAGAAGATGGACCATCGGATCTTTTAAACGAAGCTATGTGCAGCGCCTGCGAAATGGCAGCAGTGTGGATGCAGAGTGAATTGACTCAGAACGAAACACAAGAACGCATACTCACTTATGCTGCTGAGGTGAGAGTTTTGAGAGAGTGAGTCTTGAATTCTTGTTTTGGACTTAAAACATGTTTTAAACTCTAACCTCTGTATAATATTTTAGCTCTGTGACCATATACCAATGCCGAACCAACAATCAGCAGTGAACTGTGAGAGGGTTTCATCGATGCCTATAGTCACATTCACAATTGGTGGCAAATCCTTTGATCTCTCACCTCAAGATGTAAGTACTTCTCATAAGCTTCTCCTTAAACTATCAGCTTGCCAAAATCACCATCAAGAAACTGAAATGCATTTCCATTTTTCTTTATGGATCAGTATATATTCAAGATTGGGGATGGAGTTGAGACTCAGTGCACCAGTGGTTTCACTGCCATGGACATCCCTCCACCTCGTGGACCTCTCTGGTAAACTCACATCTGCAAAACCTAATCTACTAACAAAAAAAAAAACTCAAATGGGTTTACCCTAAAGTTTTGTAACCGTGTGAAAAATGCAGGATCTTGGGTGATATCTTCATGGGAACATACCATACTGTGTTCGATTATGGGAAAGCAAGAGTTGGATTCGCCAAAGCTGCTTAATAAAAATGCTCTCTTTCTTTAATACCTTTTTTTTTATATGATGTTTGTGAATGTGTTTTAGACTAAATCTGAAAATTGTTGTAATAACTTTAAAAAAAACATTGCTATCCTAGAATGGTATCATCTTAATACAGATTTTTATTTGGCTGGAGCTGTTTGATTTTCTTCAACTTACAGAGAGTACCAAGATCATAATGAGTCCAAGGGTTGAGTCCTCTCTCTCTTATCACTTAGCCTTTGCCAAAGCCAGTGTCGTTGACCTCGCTCGCAGGGTCAGGAAAATTCCCCTGAAAAAACAAAAGAAGAAGAAGAATGTTGAGATTACAAGAATGGAGTTTAGAACTGAGTAAGAACAACAAGAATGAAAAAACTGATAGAGAAAATTCGGCTAATTTCATTCGGTTTCTCTTTACATGTTCAAGGAAAGAAGACAACAATCTTAAAACCAAATTCACTATCACTTTCATGAAGCATTCAGATGATCCAGATAATACTTTGTGATGTAGACTATCAAGATATCTGGATATTTAGACTTGATCATGGTTTGGTTTGGTTTTCTTACCAAAAGAAGGCGACGAGGCTGTGCAAGATGACCCGGAAGTGCAGTGGCACATACTTGTAGTTTATCCATCCAACGAGAGGGAAAAACTGTGATTTAAAATTAGTTCACAACACACAAAATCAAATGAGTAGACATGAAAACAAAATGTAAATTCATTGTTTGAATCAAACTTTTTTATAACGAAGGACATGAACTGAATTTGATATCTATCACTTACCGTCCATGCTGTAAGCTGGACTGTCGGGTAAGTCTTCTTGATCCTATCTCTAACAAGATTCCATGGAGTTCCTGTTTCATTCAACATTGCAGAACTCTTAATACCATCCAAGACATTTTCCGATTTTACAAATGGAGAGAGAGAGAGAGAGAGAGAAGAAAGGAACTAACTTTCGATGACTACTCCATAATAGATCATGAAAAGCAAATGGTTCAATGGTGACAAAGTCAGTTGTTCCACGATTACCTACCAAACAGATCAAATTTAGCATAAACCTCGATTGGATCCTTTAACATACAAATCATCGGAAGGTATTAGACATTCACCTTCTTTGCAACAGTCTTTGTGTCTTTCTTCCCTTGAAAAATCTTATCTAGAATTGTATGAAAGAAATGCCCTGCTGGTCCGAGAAAACCACCTGCAAATATCTGTTGGAGAAATCCCTCTTGAGATTATCGAAAAACACTTTGAGAGGATTCAAACTTGAAATTGAGGTTCTGAAGAGAGAAAGATTCAAACTTTTTACCACTTTGAGAAGAACCCTTCTTAGCTGAATCTTCTGTATGCCAGAGAGTTTCTGTGAAACAACATCACTAACACCGGACAATACTCCAGCAGTAATTGCCTGAAAATTCATTTCAATGAGAGACAAAAAAAAACCTAAAATAAATCATTCCCAGGAGTTTCAAACAATTCATAAACAAGTCAACGAGCTATTTTCACTATGAGATCATTCTCTGAGGTAATCAGATCATAAAATTGGGTTTGGTTAAAAAACACAAAAATTTCAATCGAAAACACAATTTTCGTCTCTATATCAATGAAAAAGAACCCTAATTTCAAAGAAACGAAATTACCCCCAATCACATCCCCAGAGAAAGAATTAGTCATCTTTAAATCACAAAGAGGAAGAAGAAGAATAAGAGAAAACAAAGATCAAACCTTTGTTCTCAATGGATGTTGCTGAAGTTGTGACAAGTACAGTTGCAGAGCAGTCTTCTTTGGTGGAGATCCCATTTTTTGGATTCTTCTCTTTAGAGGTTTTTTCACTGTAAGTGTCTGTGTTGAAATCTCTCTGTGTTGTGTCATGTGTGTGATCAATTTGTACCACATTTCCTACAAAACAAAACCAAACCGGTTCAATCCCAACAAACAACAATCAATTTAACCAATCCGGTTATGTTCGGTTTAAGAGTTTTAAAGACTCGTTCTACGAGGATGGCGGGTAAAATTGGGAGGCTTTCGGTTTAGACCAAAACCGTCACAGGAGAATTGATCAAAGCCTGAGAATTATTAGTCTTTGGTCAAAATTCAATTCTTATTCTCTCTTTGGTCAATTCAATTCCTTTAATTTTCTATTCTTGTTTAATGCTTTTCGGCTTATCATCAAAAAATTATATATATACAACTAGCATCAGATATCTCCATTCATCATCTTCTTCCATCAAACACAATCACAAAACTTCAGAGAGAAACTAACAAACAAACGAAACCAAACCAACCAAGAACTGGTTTAAAACGAGTTTAAGAATAAATCAAATCACTATTTATTTCTTGTATACATCAATGGCTTCATTGCAGGTTTCAAGATTAGTTCTTTCGTCTTCTTCTTCTTCTTCTTGCTCGAGACCTAAAGCCGCAGTCTCCATCCCGAAACTGCCGAAATTTAACGTCTCGATTCCGAAGATACCGATGAAGAAGCAAACTTTATCGGTTATAGAACCGAGCTTTGAATCTGATGGGTTCATAGAAAGTCGTCCTCTTTCGTTGAAACAGAGAAAAGACTCTGATTCTATCCAAAGGGCACGTTTCATTGTGGTTCTTGAAGAAGTTATGGATAGGATTGAGATGCACAAGAACATCGGAGATCAGCGCAACAATTGGAACTCACTATTGCTCAATTCCGTCAACATGATAACCCTCACCGCCGCTTTAATGGCCGGAATAGCTTCGGTTAATGGTCATGGCGTAGATTCTGTTACCGCGGTGAAGATAGCTTCAACGGTCTTGCTAACCTCTGCCACAGGTATCGGTGCCTTGATGAGCAAGATTCAACCGTCTCAGCTCGCTGAAGAACAGAGGAACGCGACGAGGCTGTTCAAGAAGTTGAGAACCGAGATTGAAATGTTTCTGAGAGAAAACGAGGAAATCGACGAGGAAGATGTGAAGGAAGCGATACAGAGAGTGTTGTCCCTAGACAAAGCTTACCCTCTTCCTCTAATCGGAACAATGCTCGAGAAATTTCCGGAAGAGTTTAAACCGGCGACTTGGTGGCCTGAAAACAAACAGAGAAGCCCTAAATCCGGTCTTGCTAATGGGTGGAGTCAAGAACTGGAGATGGAGATGAGAGAAGTGGCTCATGTGGTTAAGAGCAGAGACGCAGAAGAGTATGAGAAATTAGGTAACGTGGCGTTGAAGTTAAATCGGTTCTTGGCTATCTCTGGACCAGTTTTAACCGGAGTTTCTGCAGTGAGTTCTGCTTTTATCGGTCAAGATTCCGGTTTAGCTGGAATTGTGGCGTTGACTTGTGCTTCTTTGGCTGCGATTGTCAACACTTTAGAGCATGGTGGTCAAGTGGGAATGGTGTTTGAGATGTATAGAAACTCCGCTGGATTCTTCTCTCTGTTAGAAGAAACCATGAAATCGACTGAGAAGAGAGAAAACGGACAAGTGTTTGAGACAAAAGTTGCGGTGAAGCTAGGGAGAAGCTTGTCCGAACTGAGAGATCTCGCGAAGAGATCGAATCTCTCTCAGGTTAAGGCCAATGAATTCGCAAGCAAGCTTTTCTAGGTTTTATAGAGATAAATTCCATTGTTCCATTGGTTTGTATAGACGATTCATTATTCATTCATTGATTAATTTTGTACTAAAAATTTATTTTACTTGTTTCCAACGGAAAAAATAATAATTTATTTTACTTTTGTAAAGAATATCTATCTTTTAATAAAAACTTGAATGAGAATTTGAGCGTAAGTTAAGCCATAAGAGTTGGGCATTTTTGTGAGATAATCCAAAAGCAAGGATTTATTCATGTTCTAAAAGAAGTTAAAAAGATGGATAAAAAAACCTCATGAGATAAACGATTTAAATTATTATCGTATAAGAGATATGAAGAGGGAAAGTTGTTTTATGGCAATTCTCAAAGCTACAATCAAAGTTCTAATGATATATATCTATATTAAGTTAATTAATCTACTTGCGAGGAACGCTTAGCACATGGATTTCATTAGGTTTGGTGCATTACAAATTTACAATCATCAATTCATCATGTGTCAAAGATAGTTTAATAATTTTAATGAGCTGAAATCATCAAACTGAATGTCAAACTTAAATAACCGATTCAAAATCTAATATCAACCGATTGGTATTAAAATTTTCACACCGAAAAAACTGAAACAAATATAAATATAATCCAATTTTAAATACAGCATTTCCGATTAAAACACACAAGATAAATCTCTCTGATTTGGTAAATTTTGCGCGGCGGAATGACGAAAAATCGCAAAAACGTAAGAATTTTGCCAATCGGAAAAGTTTGTGGAAAAGCAAAAAAACTTCATTAAATAGAAAAATGTGTTTGAAGTAGATTATTTACGGAATTAATATTTATATTATTTAATTATATAATTAATTATATTTTATTATTTAAATAAATATAAATAAATAATTTGATGTTACAAAAAATAATTAATGATAAAGTTATGTCGATTATTTAAGGTTTGCAATATTTTATTTTACATATTTTTTTAATTTAAAAGAAAAATTGTAAAAAAATTACAATAAAAATTATATTATTTTATAATAGTTAATTAAATTATTAATATTTTTTTAATGATATAATAAAAAAATATTTTTATATAATTATATTTCGCTATTCCGTTATTCTGTATAATTTATCTAATCATGTAAAAAAATATATTCTGTAATTCTGTAATAAGTCATTCTGTAATTCTTTTTTTTTGCTATTCTGCAATTCCACAATAAGAAAAATGTGTTACCAATATATCTTAATGAATAAGAATAAGTATTTATCTAAACCAAAAACCAAATCGAACCGAAATGAAATAAATCGATGACAAAATTTAACCAAACTGAACCGAATCTCCCAATATCCCTCGAACAAGTTCATAAGAACTTTCTTCCCTCTTACGCTATCCAATGCAAAAGTTCATTACTGAATGCAGCTTAGGTTACCTTGTGTCCTAAGAAACATTTCTAAAC